GTTGTCAGTGCACATCAGAGGTTGTGAAGATTACAACTGGTTCAGAGGAGTATGATACGTTATCACAAGTCCTCAAGAATGAAGCTGAGAGAAAGGAATGTTCCACAAAATGTAGATAATTGACAAAAAAGGGGAAATTCAGGAGGCTCAGGCAACGTAATCCTTATCGCTGGACCCGTGTTGATGCCATGCATCACTCTGAGATAAGTACCTGCACGCACCATTTCAAAGCTAAGGGGCTGTATAAAACAAAGCCTGATCCATGCTAGGGTGTGCTTTGGGTGTTGAGCACGTGGGTGAAGAGCAGTGAATGTCTAGGATGAAATTCCAGCTCGTGGGGTGGGAGGGGTGGAAGGGGGAAAAAAAACAACCTACCTCCTATTGACTTCACAGTGGCTTTAATCGTTGGAGTAAGTTGCCTAATAACATACTGCAGGGTGTGCTTTGGCCGTATAGTTCACTTTATGTTTAATATATCAGAAAATGATGCTTAAGGTCTTCTATATGTGGATATAGCTATCTACAAGAAAACAACTGATGTCTATAGCATAAGAAATTGAAAAGTCAAGGACTTCTGAAAGTACTGATTGATATTTTTGGCGATATCATCAGCAAAACCTAATTAGAAGATGGTTTTCCACAATTGCTGTCCTCTGTACATAAAGTATAGCCCTCCTATAAATAACATCGCCATCTTTAAAATACTTTACAATAAACACTAATTTACCCTCAAAATTTTCTTGTGAGATAGATAATTATGTGTTAACAATATCATCATCATTAGTAGCTGTGTTAGTCCTCTCTTTTTATAGATGGAAGCTCATGCACTGATAATAAACAACTTGCTGAAGGCCACATGAGGAGCCTTTCAGGACTCTGATTAGAGAGCAAACAGTTCTGGCTCCCAGTCCTCTGCTCATGTGGAGGAGGAGAACAACGCAGTTATAATGAGAGAAAAGCAGGAGCTCAAGTGTTGGTGAGAAAAAGGAATCCTCTTCAAATTGGCTGCATTCCTGCGCTGCCAGGAAATATTAAAACATGATGTGATAGTGATGAAGGTAAATATCTAGGAGATTTTGCGCCTTTTGTGCTTGTACTTTTATTTAGCAATTGTACCACATAATGTAGACTGTTTTGTGAATCACCATGACACTTAAAACACCAAATTTTTGCAACCACATCCTGGTGCCATGAGATAATCCGTTTTGATCTCAAGCTGCAGCCAGGTATGTCTCGCTTGAAACTTCAGAGGTGTGTGATAGCTGCCAGTACCGCACCCTTTTTCATAATGTTGTTAAAATAAAACAAGTTTGGATTCGCTTGGCCATTGCAGGATGCGAGATGGGAGTTAGAACTCTGCCATGAATGCAGCTTTGCTGTGACCGTGTGGCTAATGGCTGCTTCAAGGATCTCAAAGTGGTGAGCTTCCATTTCCCTCGATAGCCACCGTCCTCTTATGCCAGTAAACCCACAGCCAGATGCAGTGGGAGCAGCTCATTCCTTCTATTAAAGCCAACGAGATTTCAGCCCCACTTGTTTAAATATCAGGTTTAACCGGCACTCGCCTGCATATCAAAGGCAGTATGGTAATTTTTAGGAGGGAAGGTTTGCCCCAGTATTGGCCAGACTTGTCCCTGGTCTCCCTGTTGCACAATGTGCTGCTGAGTCACTGTCGTTTCTCACCCAGTAAGAGCGTATCACTGGGGCTGTGTTCGTGCAGCACAGGGTAATACAAAGCACGCTGTAACCGGGAGACTCTTTGCATAAACAAGAGCTAAAAATGAACGAAGAACATTCCTGGGTTGCTCGTATTTATTTATGCACTGCCATACATGGCAAGTTTCATTCTGGCACCTAAGCTGCATGGTGGACTGGGCTCGAGCTTGCTTTTCTGAACTCGGTAATCTAATTCCTGCTGATGTTCTGGCACCTCACTCGGCCTTTAGCTCCGTCCCAGTCTGTAGAAGATTTATGGTCAGATAATATACAGATTTAACACAATAGCATGGGTTTTATTATTTGCTGGAAAATGTTAATAAAAAAAACCCTAGTATTACAGACACATTTTAATCCCTGAAGTGATTTTCGAGTAGAATGCATGAATTATTAATTGTTGTTATTGTTATTACTGCAACACATACCTATCTCACAGGACACTGTGAGGATTAATTAATTCTTGTAAAGATGTAAAAGGCCATATAGGTGTCAAGGGTTATGACTAAAGTGCTTTGAAAATGGAAACCCCTCTGTGAGTGCCAAGTATTATTATTTATGGAGTCCAGGCAGTGTGCTTGGTGCTGTGCAAACACCGGTCCAGTTATTGCAAATATTTGCTTCTATGTGCTTAGTAGGCGGAGCACTCACTGTTGCAAGTAATTTCAGCTATTTTAAGGATATGCCTTATAAATATGGCTGTGAGAAGACTTCCCAGAAGTTGAGGTGATGAGACCATGGAAAGCAGCAGCACGAAGCAATGCCCTGTGCAGGCTCGTGAGGTGTTCACTGAGCTGGGGCCATAGTAAAGTAAGAGAAAATGGAACAAAATGGAAGGGGTAAGGTTATTGCAGCATACATCTGCCAGCATGCACTTCACAGATTCTGCAGGGCAGAACATGCATGCAGGTGATCACCAGTGCAGTGCGCGATAATCGAAAGTGAAAGCCTGGCACGCTGGAGTTGTGACTGAACATTTGGTGAACAGGAGACCACAGAAACCTTCAGCCAGATGACTTCAGCTCAGCATGTTGTCGCTGCTCGGCAGATGGATGGGAAGGCAGTGTTTGCAGTTTCTGTGGGCCAAACAAGGCACACTTGAGGGGTTTTCCTTCCCTCGTTTCTGGGCTTATATCTCCTATTGCTATGTTGAGGATGTTTTGCAGCCCCTCCCACATCCTCCGTCAGCGCAGTCCTCTACTTGAGGACCCTTATCTTTCCTTCTGCCTCAGGCTACGTGCATGCTCCCATTCCCCCTTCCTCCACCCACTGTTACTCCTTATCTGCTCCTAACTAGGAAATAAGTCCTTCCGAGTACAGAGAGGTTAAACTCCTTTAGACGCACGGACACATCTGAGATGATAACACAGGAAGGTGCGAGTGAATCTCTCACCACTTCTTCCCCCCCTTCTTACGTTTCCCGACCTTCAGCAAACAGCTCATGTCTTCCTTCAGATGACAGCAACCTTCTCTGAAATTCTGGTGTTGGACTTCATAAATTTACTGCATCCTTAAAGCCTACGCACCAGCACTAAGAAGAGAAAGTTGTCCACTTTGCCATCAAAATTATTACAGAAATAAAGGTTGAGCACTTTGCAATTACAAATATGCTGCCTAGCTTTCTAGAGACTTCAGTTTCCTCATACAATTTAGTCTTCTTAAAGCAAATGGATTGAAGGCCCACGGTTTTCTCAGAATGAAATAACTTTGCGATGCAAAAAAAAACCCAACGTGCTTTCTGCAAAATTTAAATACTATTCTTCTAAAACAAAGGGAAGCCCATGGACATGACCCTAAAAAATGAGCACTGTGAGATGATGCTGCACCCAGAGACGCACCCCGTCTGCTTTCATCACGATGTCATGGAGCAGAAGAGTCCCATTGACTTGGAAGTTGCAGCTCAGGTAATGAAATGTGCCTGCGTTCAGCTGAAACACAACCTTAGCTCTAGAGTTGGGACGAGTGTGATTCTCCAGCAATTTTGAGATATTAAACAAAAAGAAGCTACGTTTGTGGCCCGTGCGTCCACAATCCTATTGTGTCAGGCCTGGTGGAAGTGCATTCTGCAGAAAGACGGTGACATGAAGGTCCTGTTTTGGCCATTCTGCAGAAAGATGGTGACATGAAGGTCCTGTTTTGGCCATTCTGCAGAACGGTGGTGATGCGGAGATCCATTTCAGCCCTGTGTTGGTGGGAGCCTCTCGCAGGACCTGGTGCTGCAGTGGGGCCCGTGGTGGTTGGCGGTCACTGCAGTGCCAATGAGCGCTGGATCAATGCCCGAGAGTGTGAAATGCTGTTGCAAAAGCATTGTGTGATGGAAAGGACTGCCCAGTGATGAATGTGGTTCTGATCAACAAAAAGATAAACAAACCTGCAACAGAAATTATGAACAGCTTCATATTCTAAAAATGAACAGCACGCAGGTAGGAGACGTTATCACTGCGGAGGATTATTTTTATTCAACAAAATGAAAATGGGCACGGGCGTCGAGAGGTGCCGATCCTCAGGCCCGGTTCCTGGTGCCACGGGAGCCAAGCACACCGTGAGCGCCGCAGTTACACGGCGCCATTCACATCTTTCCTAGACAAACGCCGAGGCCCAACCGGCCGCGCTGCCCGGGCTCCTGACCCCGCGGCCGGCCTCCCCGCCCCGCTCCCCTTCCCGCCATGGCCCTCAGCCCTCCTCCCCTCGCGCGCGACGCTGCGCCTGCCTGGAGCGCGCGGGCGCGCGAGGAGCGAGCGGGCGGAGGGGAAGGGAGGAAGAAGGAGGAGGAGGAGGAGGAGGAGGTGGGGGCCCAGCCGCCGCCCCCCGCCCCGCCGCAGGTTTGTTGTGCCGGGCGGCCGCAGCAGGCCGGCACCGCTCCGCCGCTCCCTCCCGCTCTCCCGTCCCTCCCGGCGGCCCCGCTCCCCCCGCGCCCATTTCCGTGCGGCTGGGCACCCTCTCCCGGCGCGGAGTGTCTGAGAGCCGTTGGCTGCTCCGAGCCGTTTGGCTCCTTCCCTTAGTAACAGCTTTCACATTCTGCCTCAATTCCTCCTCAATCTAAATCACACGCGCGCACACACACAGATATTACTTTTTTTCCTCCTTCCTCGGGACTTAATCTCTAATCCCCCCTCTTTCCCCACCCTCCCCTCCCCCCCTCGCTGGCTCTGGATATAATTTAATATAACAGCGCTGTTTGGGGGGTGGGGGGGGGGGGTTTTTTTTTTTTTTTTTTTTTTTTTTCTTCCTCCTCCTCCTCCTCCCGTGTGTGTGGTGTTTTTTTTTTTTCCCCCTTTTTATTTTTATTTTTATTTTTTTTACCTCTCGCCGTGGACTTAAAATAATAACAATAATAATAATAATAAAAAAGCGATTATCCATCTCGGTGTGTACACACACAGACATGTGCCCGTCTGTCTCTATGGCCGTATAAAAACAACCGCGGAGGAGAGGCGGACGCGGGCGGATTCCTCTCGCGCCTCCGCTCCCAGGGAAGGGGAGCGTCGCCGCCGCCGCCCAGGTAAGTGCCGGGGGATGGGCGCCGCTTCGGGGCCGATCCGGGGGGCTTCGGAAGCGGCGTGGGGGTGCGCGTGGCTGCGGGGTGCGGGGTGGTCCCCGCGTCCCTTCCCCCAACCCGCGCCGCCGCTGGCCGCCCCTCCCCCCACCGGGCCGCGTTTTGGGGAGGTTTTTAGGGGGGAAACGCAACGTTGAGGCGTCGGGGGTGAATTAAATAAAGGAGCCGTGGCGAGGCGGGTGTCGGATCGCCTATTTTTAGCTCGATTTGTGTAAAGAGGAGCGCTCCCCTCCCCCCGCTCCTCTCCGTACATATTTACTTCTGGCGGAGGGGGAGGGGAAAGGGAGAAGAGAGAGAGAGAGAGAGAGAGAGAGAGGAGAAAAAATAGATTAAAAAGGGGGAAAAAGGCATCGAACCGAGCTGCGGAGGTACGGGGCCGGGAGGGCGGCGCGGGGGTCCGCGGGGCCCGGCCAGAGGTTGGGGGGAGGGGCGGTGGTCCGGCCCGGGGCTGCGGGGCCCCGGGAGGAAAGTTTGTGGCTGTGGGTGCCGCACGTGAGCGGTGCGGGAAGTTGGGCGCGTTGGTCGCGGGGAAGTTTAGGAGGGAAGTTGTGTGCGCTCTCCGGTGTGCCCGGCCGCCTCGAGCTCCGTTCGGTGTGAATCAGGGGCTGATGTCTGAGGTGACCACGCGACGTGCTCCTGTGTGCTCAGCCAGCTGCGGTCGGGAGGAGCGGATTTGGGGGCCTTCTGGGCTGAGCGTCCCGTGGCGCTGAGCGTGGATGGGGCGTTTGGTTGTATCCCGAGGGCTCTGCTGTGCTGCTGGGCGCTACCCCTGCTTGGGGGCTTGGTGTGGGGCCTTGGCTTGTGCCAAGCCAGCCTGAGTCAAGGCCCAGCGCCGTGAAGTTGGGTTGGGGCCTTCCTTTGGGTGCGTTTGTGTGAGCGCTTCTTTCAGAACATGTTTTGTTAAGGCTTGGTCTTGCAAATCCTTTTGTATGTCTTTGAACTTTGGTGAGCGTCTGTGGAGGAGAGGTTGTTCCTGGGTTGTTCCTGCTGGCCGGAGAGAAGAGGAGCTGTGCTGTTTGATGGGTTGGCCATAGGATGCGGGTGGTGCACTGTGCATCAAAGTAACAAACTTTCTGTAGTTTCTTGTAGCCATTTATTTTGCTTTCCTTTTGGGTAAGGCCCAATGGAACAGCAGTGTCTTAACATCACCTGGGACCTTATACTGTTACCGCTGTTGGGTTTCTTGGGGAGTATGGAATTGGCTCTGTAAAAACAAAGGCTGGTGTGGTGCCATGCCTTGGGAACGTGGTGCTAGAGAGCGCCTGGAAATGTTTGCTCCTCTCTCCGTGGGATGGAAGTGCGATGTGAGAGTATGGAAGGAGTTGGGTTTGACTTTCTTCTGATGCTGTGCACGAGTTGATAATTTTTTCTTCATATCAATATGCACAGCCGTAGCGTGTGTTGATAGCATGAAGAATGTCATGATTACAGTTAGGTTCTCTTTCTTAAGCTTTTTTTCCCCTTCAAACAGGTAGTCATGATTTTTTTCTCCATTTTTGTTAATATAGGTGTTTTCAGTTTTTGCTCTCTATGGTAATTATTGATGTCTGTGCAGTGCTTTGAAGTTGTAAGGCATCACGTAAGTGCTAAGTACCTAGGAACAGCACTTCGGAGTTCTGTTTCTATCATGAAAGAGTTTGATGCTAAAAAGTGCTACAAGCCTATGCATAAAGAGGCATGGATGGATTAGGGGAAATAGTCAAAATTGCTTATAATGTTGTTTTCAGGTAATATTTTTTAGTTAGGAAGAACAGATCCAAATAACGTAACGCAAACTGAGTTATTTTACCTAACTTGATTTTGAATGCAGAATTTAATTTAACATGGACTTCACGTTTGAGTCAGAATGTGTTTGCTGTTAGAAATTTTGTAGTGGCAATAAAGACCCACATCCTACAAGGATATAATTGTGCAGAAGTCAGGAAGTCCTGTAAAGAAACACACACAACTTCATGCACATCAGCAGCATAGCTCGGCTGAATGAGCTCCACAGATGTCTGTTGAGTCGCACACAGATGAGTGTGTTTTGCATTAGTGGCAGGCAGTGGGATGTGCCTCTTTCTTGATGCTGATCTTTTTTTTTTTTTGGTATCAAAGTGCTATTCAGTGTTCTGGGGAGGCCAAAGCGTGGCCAGTGAGGCACCTTTCCTCAGTACATGCGGAGCCCCAGTTTGTGCCTGTGTGGCCAGCTGTCCTGTCAGCTCCATGGCCCTTGGCCGTTTGGGGTCATGGTACCATGAGCTCGGTGACTTCAGTGGAGGGGACTTCTGCTGCTGACGAGACGGGGAGGTTGCGGAAATGCTGAGGTGTGTTGTGTGGAAGTACTGCTAAGTTCTAAGAACATTCATTTTGTTTACACTGAGAGTTGTGATTAATGCCCTGTGTGTGACCACCCTTACTGTGTGTTTACATGTGTGTGCTGCACAGTCCTCAGTAACGTGTGCGTTTAAAGCTGTAACCATCTGCTCATGCAAGTACTGTGGGCCGGGAGAGAAGTGAAAGCGTACGTACACAGCGCGCCCATGTAGGGCTGCTGCAAGAAGTGACAATAGGAGAATAGACTTTCTGTGTGCTCGTTTTCTTAGTATAAGTATAAATATTTGTGTTAGGTGAAGAAATGTCTGAAGCTTACTGTTAGGAAAGATGATTGATGGCTTTTCTCAGTGCATTTGTGTTGCATTGCAGCATTAATTTTGTACCTTCAAATTAACAAGCGTTGAAGAAACGGTTCCTACATTCCTGCCATTGCTTCAGGTATTGCTGTCCTCAGTATGTGCAGCTTTCCAAGCACTGTGGTCTCAAATTAGATGGTCTTAATTTCTGTGAAGTAGCTTAATGAGAAGAGTGACTTTACTAGGAAAAAGTTCATCTAGTGATACCAAACAGAGTGGATAGAGACTGCCTTATTCATCTCGTAATTGGTTTCCTCTGAGATAAAGTATGACAATGAAATAAGGAATAAGAATTATCTTTTGCAGATGAAACTGTAGGGGAATATATTGACTCCATTTTTTTTTTTTTTCTTTTAATTTAGCAAAATTGAATTAGCTGACTTGAGGTAAGAAGCAGTGAGATTGCAGCAGCATGGCTGTCATTTCAGGAGAGTTGGTGGGTTGAGTATAGAAGTGTGGAAGTCTGGTCTGGAAATCACTGCCGTTTGTGTGGGAACTACGAGCTGTGTTCTTGTTCAGGTTCTGCCTTGTGCTACCTTGGCCGTAACAGGGAGGCCCTTTCCATTCTTCTCATGAAAACAAGGCTGAAATGGCTTATACAAAACACCACGGAGTCTTAATGGCCATGTTTGAACTGGGAGTTGAGTTTTCCTTTGTTTCTGAAAGACCCGTAGAACTGTATTTTAACAGATCCTCTGAAACCTTGATGTTGAATTCCAGTACCACGTTGGTTCTCTTCAGTCCTTTGCGCCCTCCTTTTTATTCTACAAAGGAGCCTTATGAACTTCTTCCTTGGTAACAAACAAGTGGTCATCCCAACTGGGAGCTTGCGTGGCTGAATGGGAAAACGTGTCCAACTGCTGGCTTCGCAGGTCCTGCTGGCTTGGCTAGCCATGGTGCAGCTGAGCCCTGGGGGGCTGCTTGCTAAAGAGACTTGTGAGGTATGTGTTCTTATCTCAGAAATAATGATGAAAGTGCTCGGTGAATTGGCAGTACTTTGTTTCAGAAGCAGTGCTGCGTGCCTGCCTGGTTCAGCGCCTGCGCGGGGCCCTTCCACATCTGTGAAGCAGGGTACTGATACGCTTGTGTTTTCAGAGGTGCTGAGTCCCCACAGTTGTGCTTCGAGTTGGCAGTCGCCGCGTGTGCTCAGCATCTCGAAACAAGTCTCGTGCATGGCTTGCTGGCTTTTGCAAAATCCCATTAGGGTGTAGTTTCTGTTTCTGGGAGTTGTATTAGTGAAGGCTGTTGTGTTTATTGTAATTCTTGAGACTCCATGTTGCAAAGAAGCAATCATGTTTGTTCATATTGTCTGGCATTAAAAAATTTAGAATCATCCGAAGAAGAAACATATTTTTCTCCTTTTAGTGTTTTTTGGGGATGCATCTCTGTTTCTCTTCAGTGTAGGCATGCATAACAGACTCTCCACATCCCATGCTCTGTGCAGAACTGCATACAGTGCTGTTCCAGCTGGCTGGAGGTGCGGAGGTGCTGGTCTGGTCATTGGAGCGGTGCAGTCCTTGGCTGGGCAGCATCCAGCTGTCTGCAGCTCATGCTGGGACTCCTTTAACCCGCTGGTGGGCAGGCAGGGAGATTGAGTCGCTTCCCTGCCTTTGTGTGAGTCTGCCATGGAGCTGGCTGGTGACCTACTGCAGATTGTGTGAGTTGGGACTGTGTGACATGTTCCACAACTCTTCTGAACGCCTCTACAACCAAACATTTTCCCAAGGTTACGAGTTGCAAGTCAGATATTTACTATTTATGAATACGTGGTGCCTGAACCACAGACGTTGTCAAGGTTTGGAGCTGTAGATATATAAGCTGCGTCCCTTTGACATTACTGGTGTTAAAGTTCAGGCCCATGGATGACCTCTGGCCAAGCTCAGAGCTGGAAACTCTGACAGCAGGCACACGTGGGGTGGATTCCAGTCCCCTGCTGGTTCCCTGAGAGTAGCGGGCAAGGACGGAGCACTTTGATTCCTAGAAGTCTTCTAGACTGGCACAGAGGAAGTACAGTGAGTTGTGCGTGTCTTCTGTGGGCATTTTTGGCCAGACTGATAGGTGCTTGAGTGTCAGTGTGACTTCTGAACGTATATTTTTGCCTTGAAAAAGAGTTATACAAATATTAAATATTTTTCATTTATCACTGGCAATGGTCTAACCTGCAGTTGTGTTGGGCCAGGTGAGAATTGTTGCTATTGGTTTCAGCAGTTGGCAGCATTAAGCGTGGCTGAAAATGTTATGTTAAAATACCAATTGATTTCATCTGAACTGAGT